AAAAAAATTCCAATATTAAATTTTATATGGGTCCATACATAGTTTTGATTTAATTAGTTGACCGCTCACCCCAATGACACACGCCTGAAGTATCATAACCTAGACTAAGAAGAAATAACATTTCATCTAGAGCTTTTGAAGCCCAGCTGAGAAACATTTAAGAAAAATTGTAATTATTCTTGGCATCTTTACAACAACTACTGTAGTTCCTTTGGCCTTAAAGTCTGTTTCTATTGATAAAATTAGAAGATATGCAAGAATGTGTTATAGATTCATGAGTGCCTATAGATTAGGTCTTTCAGTAAAGGTGCCATTTTTGCAGTAACAAATCTCACAGAAGAATTCCAGAATCTGTCCTTATGGATGATCAATTAATACATGGTGACCTCTTGTCACATGATTATATCAGGAATTCATGATAACTACACATGGTAAAATTCATTAAAGGCCTGGTGAAAATTTCATAGTAAAAATCACCAATTTCAAATTGTTAAGGCTCCCATCTATCATTTAAATCAAAAAACTTTCTGTAACATTTTTATTTGAATCAAATTACAGAGTTTTGTTGTGACCCAATTGCTTTTTCAGGATTAATTGTTAGACTATGATAACGAGTTAAATATTTTCCTTTCCTTTCATAAAATTCTTGATTTTTTTCATTATAAAGAAGCTTCATTAATTAATTTTATAGACCATCATTATTATTAAAAAAATTTTTTTATTAGAAAATTAAATTAAAATATAACTTTTCATTTATTTTCTTCCTCTCACAATTTTATGAGATTATTGACCAGAGGTTGCAAGTATATCAGAATCACCTGATAATCAATTGGGGAAAAAATATTAATTATAATAATTTAAGAAAAGTTTTATTTCATTGTTATAATAAAGAAGATTAATTTACCAGCATCAGTAATGCTTAACACACAAACACGAAAGTATTTACCACAAGCAGTACCAAGAGAAATGTTGCCTATAACCAATCAACCAAAATTTATCATTATTGTTGTTGTGATTATTTTTTTATTAAAATGAAATATCATATATACTTACTTCCAGAATAATGATGAACTGAAGTTTTTGAAAGCATGGCATAATATTCTAATTCATGTTTTCTCAATGGTGGACAATTAGCAGAAATTATAACAAGCTTTGCTAAATAAATAAATATTTAATTAATTGATTAGTTAATTAAAATTTTATACAGAATGCCATTAAATCTAACCTTTTCCTTGACGTAAAGTTTTAAGTGTAGATTTATATCCTAAAGTGTATTTACCACTTTTCATGACAAGTGCAAGGCGTGAATTGATTGATTCAGTGGCTTTTTTACTTTTTTTTGCCGCCATTGTTTTTTTTGTTGTAATTCAAAATTCAAAAAATTTTTTTGATTTTGATCACCTTTTTTATACTCTTTTAATGTAGGTAGCTACATGAAACAATATTTTTATCAATAGGAAAATTATATAGTTCCTATGATGACAGAGCTAGTTCTTAAAAGATAGAATTTAAAACAACATGCAAAAAAGGAAATGGTAAGATAATTGGTTATCAATTTTATTTCACAAGGTTAAAAAATTTTACATCTAGAGAAAAAGGATCTTAAATTTCAATAAAAAAAATATTTTTATATATAATAAATATCATAATTACATTAGGTTTTTATAACATCAGTATAATTTTCTTATAAATGCTGATTGAAATTTTTTATAATACTCTTGTTCTGAATAATTCTTGGTAATTTTTCTTCGTGGTCGACTTGCGGAATGCAATGATGTAAATTTTTTATCACCATCAGGATCTTCATCATTTTTATCATTTTTTCTTTTTCTTTTTCTTTTTGCACTCTTTTTAATTTTACCATCACCATCATCACCATCATCATTTCTATTAGCATCATCATCATCATCATCATGAATAATACGAAAACGATTACGGCTAGTATCAATAGAAACACTGCGACTGCTGCGACTATTACCACTATGATGAACCATTTTACTCCGAATAATAGACTTATTACTAGTCTTACTATTGGCCTTATTAGCAGTCTTGGTCTTGCTATTAGTAACATTATTGGTTTCTTTAGCAATTGTCCTATAGTTGAAAGCATTTTGATATTGTTTATAATAGTTATCATCAGAATAATTAATTCTTTTTTTGGTTGATCTTTTAGGAATCTTCTTTTTATTATTTTTATTATTGCTCTTGATTTTTTTATCATTACTTTTGTTTTCACTAGAAATGATTATTAATTCATCAGTGTCATCTTTGTTCCTTTCCTCCTTCCCCTCCTCTTCATCTTTTTCTTTCTCTTCTATAAACTCACATCCTTTCTCCAAACTATTCTATTTTTAATAAAGTTTTAAAAGTAAATATATATTTATTGGTTTTAAACTGAACATAAATTAAAGATCCCTGACCTCTTCAAACTCTTTCTTAGTATCCGAATTAGGGCTACTTTTTTTTTCAATTGGCAAAATTATTACGTTCAAAGCTTGCTCTTCACTAACCTCTTCTAAAACTGGAGTATTTACATCAGTAGGATCATGTTCTGAACTAATTTTTTCTTCTGGAATTTTTGACATTTTGTACAACAATAGCTTTTTTTATATACAAGTTTTGTTTGTTGTTGTTGTAATAGACTATTGTTGAAACTTATTTTGATCGACGTTTGTCAAAAAGGTGCAGATCATGGTGTCATATATGGGACTAGTGATGGGCGTAAAAAATTATTTTTGAAAAATGACCAGTTATTAAGTACTTAATAACTCTATTGGTGTCTTATTAAGTGTTTAAAAACACAACGTGCAGATCTCTTATTGGCAGCAAAAAATTATTTGTTTAGTCAAATATTAATTTGACAAGTTAATAATTAATTTAGTTTAAGTGATGACGGTGCATAAAATTCAGTGCGGAGTGTGCATGCTAACCAAATTTGATAATTATTTTCCCAAATCTGCTGAATTTGGTTAGCACAGCACATTCCGCACACTGAATTATATATATACACTGGGATTGTGATTGGAAAAATGGATCTTTTGGATTAATAACTCTCACTCAGAGTGCAACAGTTAATAAGTGGTTATTAACTATTAATAACTTGGAGTTATTAAGCATAGGGTTAAAAATTCCCATCACTATATGGGACAGTCCAGCAAAAACAACCTCCAAGGTCTTTTGACCAAATTTGTACTGGAAATATTAGACCTGTTGGCTTAATAAAATAGCATAGTAGCAGCTTTTTTTATGATTGGCTGATGATGCACAAAGAAATTGATTGGTTAATTTTATTATTATGTCAATCAAGACAGTTTCTATTATTTAGAAATATAATAAATTATTTTTTAATAATGACAATTATAGACTTTTGATTTAGATTATATTTGCCAATTTGCATTGGAAAACAATTTTTCCTAAATAGTAAAAGTATATAATGTATATTGTAAAAGGTTACATGAATAGAAGTTTGTGGATGAGATTTAGCTTTTGATAATTTTTTGAATTTGTTCTGGAGAAAATTTTTTACCCATGTTAAGCAAAGATCTAGCATATTGACCTTTTGTCAGCCATTGGATATATCAGCTATTGTATTTATTTTTCCTTACAAGCCTGATAAAAAAAACTTATTTCAAAGAAATAATTTTGTTCAGGGTTGGGAATCGTACATGTGCAATCTGAGTTTCCTATTTAATAGGTTATTTAAAGCTCAACACACAGCCTACCCACTGACTAAAGTTTCTGGCCAAAACTGCTTCTATTAGTAGCTGAAGTTGCCCAAATACTTTGGGCAAAAATTATTTTTTTATAAGCCCAAAATTGGACAAAATTATTTTAAAGTTGTTTAAGTTAAAACAAGTTGATTCATATAGTTTTTTAATGTTCATGCT